TACACACGCACGCATGCACGCACGCACACACACACACACACACACACACACACGCCGTGCCCCAGGCCGTGACTGGCAGCTGGAGGGGCGTCCTGGAGGAGCTGGCAGACATTGAGGACCTCAGCCTGGGTGGGTGGCACAGCCTGGGGGGTGTGTTTTCAGAGTCCGTGACACGGGCGTGCAAAGAGGGGGGGAGAGCTGCACAGGAGTGGGAGGGATTTTTGATTTTGGGGAGCCCTCGATGTGACGCATGCGGCCCAATGGGTTTGGAGTGGAGGGCCTAGCCCCTGATGGTGTGTGATCTGAAGGCGAGCAAGCAGGGCTGGGCTCCCAGCCTATTGGGCCGCCTGCGGACGGCTGCTGTCCGGCTTGTTGGTAGTGGCCCGCAGGTCGTGAGTGACCCTTCCCTGCCGGCGCCGCGGGCTGTGCTGCTCATGAACCCCTGGGGACTTCAACATCTCCACCGCCTTTCCCCCTCCCCCCAAACAAACGTCACAGAGGACGTGCGGCAAGCGGCCGCGACGGCGTTTGACCCTGCCAACTGCATCACTGCGCTGATCTCCAGTGACAGGCGCGGGACTGCGTAATGGCTGCTAAGCCCCGACGCAAGTTTTGTCATTCCTTGCGGGCTGCGCGCCGGCCGTCAAGCCCGCGGGCGGCGCAGGCTTTCGGCATATTGGTTTTGTCGGGGTGCTGGCACCTCTGATTGCTATTTGCATGCGACCCTGCAATGAAGGGTGTCTTTGCGGTCAACAGCTGTCAAGCAATGCGTTTGCAGACATACATGCTGCACAAGACCTGTGATAGGCAGCTCTTGGCACACACATCTCCTTTGTTTATGTATGGTGTAATCCAGACATCGCTGCTGACGGACGGGCGACACTTGTGCAGCCATTGGTTTGCAATAACAAAGCCAAATCTTCCTACAACAGCCTCGCAGCAGCAATGCGCGGCCTCCAAACGAGCTTCCAGGCGAGCGTCCGACGGCCCGACCCTTCCACGCGACGCTGGCAGCTTCCCGGTAGCTATTCTCCCGCCGCCAGGTCCATCAGCTCTAGGAGGTCCTGCCCCGCCCTCATGGTGGCCCCGCCCCCGTCCAGCGACAGCCCCTCCAACCCCTTTCTGTAATCCGCGTGCCGCCCCGGCCCAAACTCGAGCTCCTGCACGCGCGCCGCGGCCCCCGCCGCGCCGCCCTTTCCTGCCGACTTGCCTCCCCCTGCGCCGCCACCGCCGTCTTCGTCTTCGTCAAAGCCAGCGGGCCCCTCGCCAAACAAGTTGAGACGGAAGTTGTCTTCGGCCGCCGCAGGCACACCGCCGGCGCCCCTGGCCGCGCCGCCGCCGCCGCGCCCCCTGCCGCCCCCCAAAATCCCGGCCAGCAGGTCCAGCTCCCGCACCGCCTGCCGGCCAGCATCCGCCTCCTCGCCCGCCGCCTCGTCGTCCGCGGTCGGCTGTTGGTTGTGGGGTGGGGCCGCCAGCGAGCGGCGCACGCGTCAGCTGGGCGCGCCGTGGGGCGCTGTGTTTTTGGCGGGCTGGTTGCAAGCGGGTTGAGCTAGCGGAGGGCGAGTAAAAAAGCACAGCCAGACAAAAAGCGCACGACTTCCTGCCAGGCGCACAACCACCACCAATAGCAACCCAGTCTCGCCCGTTCCCTCACCCGCGCAGACCGCTCGCCCCGCCGCTCCGCCGCCTCGCCTCCCCCCCCGCCGCCGCCGCCCTCAGCCCCCTGCGTTTTGCGGTCGTGGCTCCTAGGTGGCGGCGTCACTCGGGGGCGGTCCTTCAGGTACAGGTTGTCACCCAGCGGCACCGGGTGACAAAAGAACTCGTTTGGATCCACCTGTGGTGGTGAACATTTTAAGTGCAGTGGGCATGTGCGGGGCGGGTGCTCTGTAGTCTGATGGCTGACCTCTCGCATGCTAAAAGCGGAACTGGCGGCCTCTGCAGGAGGGGCTGCGCAGGCGAGACTCTTCACTTGCACATGCGCTGCCTCCACCCCAATGCCCTAGCCGCCGCCTGGCCCTCCAACAGACCCACACAAACGTGCCTGTGCACAAAGCTGCGAACCCCATCAGCTTAAGCGCGGCAAGAACGAGAACAGGTTGCACCTGCAGCGCCGCCAGCGGAGGGCGCTCCTCCCTCAGCTGCCGGCCGCCGGCCCCGAACACGCGCACCCGGCCCGCGTCGCAGGCGGTGCATGTGGGCAGCACGATGCGGCCGTCGGGCGCCTGGATGCCTTCGGACAGGAACAGGGAGACCCGGACGCGCTTGTCCTGAAAGAACCTGCAGTGGGTGTGGCGTGTGTGTGTGTGTGCATGTGTGTGTGTGTGTGTGGGGGGGGGTGTGCGCGTAAGTTCACGTGTGCGTATGCGTGTGTGGGGGGGGTGCATGTGGAGGGCAGGGCTATGTTTACAGATTGGCAAGGCACCAATTGGTGATGGTTTTAGGTTCTAGAGGATATTGCGAGAGGGTGAACAGAGGTGGAGGCGATGTGCACACACGCTGGAGGTGGGCGCCTGAACACTTCCAAGGGGGGAGCTAGTGACTGTGGTACTGCCAGCAGTGGACGCGCAGCTCTACCCTGCACCACGCATGCCCAGTGCCAGCCGCTGTCCAGCCACCTGAGCCTATCGCCCTTTGAAGCAAGCAAGCCCCTTGCACTCAGCAGGGGGGGAACGCACCTCATCAGCGACTGCCGCATCAGCGCCAGCTGCCCCCCAGACAGCCGGCCATACAGCGACCGCGCCAGCTCCTCCGCCCTCGCCACGAGGTCCACGCAGGGCGTGGCGACGGCGGCAGCGACCATCTGCCTTATGTTGCGCAGGTGGCGCTGCGTGACCTGCGGCGCCAGGGTGCATGCGATGGCAACGAGAGTGCGGGGACAGGCAGACCGGCGGCTGTTGCGCTGCAGAACTGGGCACGATCTGGTTTGTCTGCATAATACCAACCACAGAGCATGCAGACCGTTGTGCCGGACGTGGCCCCACTGCCACGGTAACATGGCCCTCTCCTCCACCCAGGATGCTGTTCGCACGCCCAACTATTGGCCCAGCCTCCCCCCCTTCCCCCGCCCTGCAGCAATGCGTGCGTGTCGCTCGTCCCTCAGGAGGAGTGGGGGTGGCCGCGCCTGCAGCATGTCGTCGTGTGATGTGCAGGCCATTAGCTGGTACTTGGCGCCCATGACCATGAGGTCAAACAGCTTGTCCATGCTGCGGAGGATGGGGGGCAACTCTTGTTGATTATGTTGGGTTGACGGCCTCATCTTACAACCACCGAGGTGCAACCTCGACCAGGGTGCAGCTGCTGCTGAAAAGCGTTCCAAGATCGCAGGAGCTTGCGCTGACCCGGACAAGCCTCTGCTGCAAGCAGCTGCGGCTGCGCTGCCCCTTCAGCCGCCCCAATCCGTATGGGCCCCCGCCCACCTGGCCTCGCTGAGCCTCATGATGGAGGAGTGCGCCAGCCGTTCAAATATTTTCTTCGTGCTTGCCATGGAGTACGTGTCCTGGGGCACGAACAGCCGCTGCTCCAGGAATCCGCGGTCAAACATGGTCGCCACGACGTCCTGCATCACGCGCGCCGTCTTCGCCGTGGATACGCCCTGGGCTTTAAGGCGCTGCTCCAGGACGTACAGCATCTCGCCTCCCAGGTTACACACTATCCACGGCATGCAGACGAGTGACATGGCTGCTGCTGCCGCTGTGCAGCGCTGCGCGAGTTGCCGCTGTGTGCAGCAGCGTGTTTGACGCTTTGAGGCGACGCGCGTGCAGGCTGCAGGCCGTTCACGCTACGTCTAGGAATGCTGCTTTTTACATGAATAATTCACGTCTGTCATGCCTAGATCGCGAAGCACTACTGCAGATCAAACGCGCATTCATGTATAAGGCAGTGATACATGTCAAAATTGCTGGTTTCAAGTCAACAGATTTAGATCGGCTCATAACGGTATCCATTGGTGACTGATGCCCGGTGGTTTAGTTGACTCATTTTGACTTGGGCATGCGACTGGCCACTGCAAGCGCGTTCCATGAGCACAATGCATAATCACAATTCAAAAACAGTGGTTCTCAGGTGGCCATATGCAACCAGAAAGGCTCTATGCCATGATGTTGAAACACAAGTGCGGGCTCACGGGGATCTTTACAAGGTGGTGCCCCTACATGCGCGGCAGCAGACACAGCATCACCCTGCCAGCGCACGAGTGGTGTGACCCCGCGCCATTGTGGGCAATCGACGCCACACCAGTATCATCCATTTGTTCTAGACGAAATTTGTGATTCCCACAGGTATTGGGCCCCAAAGTCAGCAGTAACCACTGTGTTGCAACATGAACAGATGAGGTTTGTATCACAGGAATCATGTGGCGCCAACCTGCAGCTCAACTTGTGCAGTTAGCTCTCGTGTTTTGCAGCCATTACGGCGTGCGCCACTGGCGCAATGAACATTTTATCAACACACAATAGCTGCGCAACACACTGACGCGCGGCACACTCAGCAGGTGGAGCGGGACACAGGTCCGTGCAGGCACAGTTCTTGGTGGCAGCAACCAGCACCCCGCACTAGGGATGGGGCCAAAGGCACATATTTCTGTGCCACGATAAGAAAGGAACCTCCCCCCAAACCAAAAAGGCAGCCAATGCGCAGTGTCAGCGCAGTTGAGCCGAACCTTGAGGAACTGTATGGACCCCAGTCACACAGCTGTCACCACAGCTGCACATGAATTCACGTGCACAGATTGCAGCACCGCCCACAGAGCAACACTTCCTTCAAATCGTTTGTTTGGAGGAAAGTGGCTGGAAGCCGCCAGACTGGCCTTGCTTGAGCGAGTGTGCAGGTGCTCACACGGACGATGCTCAGGTAAAGCAGCTATACCAACGGCACTGACCCAGCAGACAGCAACCGCCTCGCCGGCGGCGCCCCCAGCTTCACTGCTGAGTGCTTGTGGGATGCCTGCTTATGCGCATTTGACGTTGAATTGTTCAGGTGGGACTTGGTGGTGGTTTTAGAGGGGCTTGCCCCTGGAGCAGCCTTTGCGCCCGTCATGGGCGCTGCTGTGGAGCCAGCATGCAGCTCGGGGGAGCCTGGCAGCTGCACCGGCTTCAATGATGCCCCTTTGTGCGCAGGCGCCGCTGGCAACTCTGCGTGCGGCGCCAATATCGGGCTTGTCCCAGGCCGCCGCCGCGGCACGGCTTGCCCGGTCCTGAGTCCTGACTCTGAGCGCCTTGGCACCGGGGGCGACGCAATCCGCTTTGGCGACGGCACAGGCGAGTGCGCTGGAACGGCATGCTGAGGGGAAAGTGGAGCGTGTGCCGCTGCCCAGGTGCTGTTGTGAGCCGCTGCATGCGCCTTGGTGGCATTGGGAGCCGCTTTCGTTGGGCTGTTGTGCACAGCTGCTCTGGTGCCGTTCTGCACTGTCCCGTGAGCCCTGGTGTTGTTGTGGGCAGCTGCATGAGCCCCAGGGCTGTTATGCGCCACTGCTGTTGTAGCTGCCCCGGCGCTGTTGTGTGCTGCTGGCATGGTACCCTTGGCTGCTGCGTGCAAGTTGTTGGGGTTGTGCACCACTGCTGTTGTGCCATTGTGTGCCGCTGCCCTGGTGCTGCCGTGTGCTGCTGCGTGCGCCCTAGTGCTGTTGTGCGCCGCTGCTGCAGAGCCACTGTGCTTGCCTGCATGGGCTCCGGTGCTGCTATGTGCTGCAGAGCTGGTGCTGTCGTGTGCCGCTGTTTTGGTGCTGTCATGTGCGGCGGCCCTGGTGCGATTGTGCCCCGACGCCCTGGTACTGTTTTTCGCAGCTGCTCTGGTGCTGTTGTGCGCAGTAGCTCGGGTACTGTTGTGCGCCGCTGCTCTCGTGCTGTTGTGCGCGGGAGTACGTGCTCTGGCGCTATTGTGCGCCGCAGCTGTGGTGCTGTTATGCGCCGCTGCTCTGGTGCTGTTGTGCGCCGGAGTATGCGCTCTGGTGCTGTTGTGCACCGCAGCTGTGGTGCTGTTGTGCACCGCAGCTGTGGTGCTGTTGTGCGACGCAGCTCTGATGCTGTTGTGCGCCGGAGTATGCGCTCTGGTGCTGTTGTGCGCCGCCGCCCGGGTGCTGTTGTGCGCTGCGGTATGCGCCCGACTGCTGTTGTGCGCGACTGCCCCAGCACCAGTGTGGGCAGCTGCCCTGGTCGCGTTGTGCAGCGCTGCCCTGGTCGCATTGTGCGCAGCTGAGTTGGTGCCGTTGTGCGCTGCTGGCTTGCTTGCGTTGTGCGCCGCTGTCCTGGTGCCATTGCCAGTGTGCGCAGGTGCTCCGGTGCCACTGTGCGCCGCTGTCCCGACGCCTTTCTTTGCCGCTGCCCTGCTTCCAGTACCGCCCGCTGCATGCCCCCATTCCTGGGTACCGTGGGGCGGCTTGGGTGCTGCAGCGTGCTGTGGCGGGGATGTATGCGGCCGCGCATGAGGCGGATGCGCTTGCTGGTGGTGCTGAGGGGCGGGGGACGGCCGAGCCCGCGGTGTTGCTTGCACTTTGGCAGCGCCAGCAGCCGCTGCAGCCTGTCGCTTGGGATGTGGAGATGCTGGCGTAGAGCGCCTCGCGCCGCTTGCAGCATCCGCCGCTGACTGTGGTGAGTCCGCAGCCACCCTGCCTGATTGCGGGCTCGGGCCTGGATGGCGAGCGCCCAGCCGCGGCTTGTTGGCCATTGGTGGCTTGTGCGCGGGCCGAGCGCCCTCCGCCTTGAGGGAGGAGGTTGTGCTCAACACTGATGATTGCAGCTGCGGCGGCAGCTGGGGGTCCGCCTTGGGTGCTGTTGCGGGGGCAAAGACAACCTCTTCCAGGGCTCGCTTTGGCGGCAGCGCGATTGATGCCTTCGGCGACGGCGACGGGGCCTGCACAGCCGCGGCCTGCGCTGCCTGCTGAGCCGCCCGGGCTGCCTTGATCGTGTTGGCCGCATCCAGAATCGCCTGCACCAGGGCCAAGACGGCCTGGGCCTTGGAGGCCGGCGGCTGCGGGGCTGCGGGTGCCGCTGGCGGCTGCGGCTGCGGCCGTGGCGACGCCGTTGGGGCGGCCGACAACGATGGGAGCACCACCGCTGGGGACGGGCTGCCCGCCTTGCTGGCGACCGCGATCGGCGCAGCGGCCTTGGCGGCAGGCACCGGCGAGGGTTGCACCGGCTTGGCAGCAGCGGGTGAGGCCGCAGCGGGTGTTGACGCCATAGCTGACGGCGCCTGCGCCGCCTTGACAGGTGCCAGCTGCGCTGCCGGCGACGCCTTGGCAGCAGCCGGCGAAGCCGGGGTGGCCTTGGCGGCCGGCGACGGGACCGGCGAGGCCTTTGGCGGCGGCAGGGGCAGCTTCGGCTTGTCGAAAACGCCGTACGCACCCCCAAACCATTCTACATTGGATGGTCGCAGCGACGACGGTCTGAACACCGCTGTGGTCGTGTTGCCGTCGCCCAGCTGCATGTATGAGTATCCCGGCATGCTTGTACCTCCTGCCACGTCGCCGCCCTCATACGCGCTCTCCAGGCTGACGCCGCCCAGCGCGGCCGGCGCGAGCGCGGGCGCAGGCGCAAGCCCGAGGTCTGCGGCGATGCGCTGGAAGGTGCGGCGGATGTCGGCGATGCGGCCAAGGGCAACGTATGCAGTGTACTTGTAGGTCGCATTTGGCTGGATGGCGAAGCGCGTGGTCAGGGCAAAGTACGAGGTGTCGCTGACGCGGGTGCTGTTGTCGGGGCCGACACGGTACCTGTGTATGTATATTTGATTGTGTGTGTGTGTGTGTGTGTGTGTGTGTGCGCGCGCGCGCGTGCGTGCGTGCGTGCGGGCGGGCAGGTGGGCGTGTTCGTGTGCGTGCGCACACATGTGCGCATTCAGAGTGTACGGGCACGCACTTGTGTTTGCAGCCATGTAAATGAGGCTACACAATGGTACCACCCAACCTGCCGGCCAGCCGGATCTTAAGCTGCATGAGCGCGTTGCTGGCGAGGCAGCACCATGCCCTCGCCCCCTCGCTCACGCAGTGAGACCGGTCGAAGTCGGAACGTAAACGCCGATGCCGTAGCCAGTGTTCGGCTCCACGTATGCTGCCCACCTGCGGAAGATCGGCAGGCCCCGCCCAGAAGAGGCGACCACAATTTGCCGGCAGCGGTACCGCAAAATTCCTGCCTTCGCGTGTTGACGGCATACTCGCACCAAGCACTCGCGGCCGCTCGCGTGCTATGCACGCATGCGCGCCGCAGAGCGCGCACCTCTCTGTTGGCGTGTAGTATCCGTTGTTGCCCCCTGGCATAGTGAATCTCAGGTTGTCACCAGTCCAGGGCTTTGGGCCCTCATAGAAGACCAGCACGCTCAGGCGGCGGTCCGCAAAGAAGGCGGGGGTCTCCTGGGTGCGCAGCGGCTGCGGGTTGGGACCATTGTAGGTCATGGCATACCTGAAGGTCGAATGTGGGTTTGGCGCCAGGGCGCTGGTCAGCAAGTGAGCGGTTTTAGCCCGCTGTTTCATGCATCCGGCAAGCATGTAAGGCAGAGTACTTGCAACAGGCAATGTGACCCCATTCCCAGCAACGGCAAAGCTCGAGTGCATTGAATGCAGTGTGCCCAAGGGCTGCCAAACAGCTGGGAAACAATGCCAAAAGGGCGCACGTGGCCGCGAGCGCATCAGGCAGCAGTGAGTAATCTGATGTCATGATGACATCATCCAGAAGCTCTTGGCCGCCCCAGTTGCGCGGCAGCGAGGTGGTCACGACGCGGGTTGGCGGGGTGCCGTCGACCCGGCTGTTCAGCAGGCGCGCCGGCTGGTTCTGCCAAGAGCCGCATTGCACTGACAGGGGGCAGTAGTTTGCAAGTGCCGCAAGGATGGTGGAGTCAGAGTAAAGCAATGGCCAGTATTGTCAGCAGCACATGCCACCAGCGGCCAGAACGGTAGTAGTGGCGTGATGAACAGCAAGCGCCTGCTCGGGATGAGGTTATGATATTTCACAGCCACAGGTCCAAGTCTATTGGACAGCCTCCTCTCACCTGGGTTCCAGCGCCACGCCCTGGCCGCCCAGCACGAGCCGTCCTCGCAGCCATAGAACGACTGCTGCAGCAGCCGCCCGCAGTCCCAGACATTTATCAGGTTCTTCCCCGCAAACGGCGCCGGCATGTCGCTGCTCGAGACCTGCCCGACCACGCCACCCCGCCGCACGTCGATCCCGACAGACAGCCGGTCGTTTGAAAGGAACGTCAGGTCCTGCAACAGCTGCCCCTGCGGCTGCCCGCTGCCGTTTGGCACGTTGACGTCGTTGACCGCGTTGACCACGCCGTGCTGGGAGTTGACCACGTTGACCACCGCGCTGCGCCTGTTGACTGCCGGCGCAGGCGAAGGCGAGGGTCCGGCTGGCGGCGCCGGCAGCTTTGGAGAAGGCGAGGCTTGCGGCGCCGCGGCTGGGCTGGGGCTCGGGGCCGCCCCTGGCGGCGGCTTGATGGAGGGGGAAGGGGAGGCGCCCGATGGGGGCGTGCCCTGCATTGCAGACAGCAGCAGGTTTGTGTAGATCTGCTGCTGGGCCGCCGGCGGCAGCGTGGGCGTCACAGCGGGCGCCTGGAGCCGCTGCAGCACGTCCCCCGCGGCCGCCTGGGCCGGCGGCGGCGCGGGCACTGCCGAGGGCACCTGGGCCTGGGCGTGCAGCCGCCGCCGGTGTGCTGGGGTGCCGCTCGCGGCCACGTCGGCCTCCTGGGCAGACACGACTGCCTGCAGATGCCCGTATAGCAGCGCCTGCTTCTCGGCAGAAGGCAGCGGCGGCGTGGAGGATCCCACGTCTGCGGCTGACACGCGCTGGGGGACTGTAAGCGCTCTTGGATCCGAAAGGAAACCGCGCTCCTTGGCGCCGCCATACATCTGCTGCAGCAGCTGAGCGGTCAGCGCGGCCCGCGCCGCGGCGTCGAGCGGCGCGCCCGAAGCCGCAGCGGCGACGGGCGTCGGTGCCGCGAGGCCGACCGGCGCCGCGGGGGTCGGCGCGGCGGGGTATGCAGCCGCGGCGGGGGCCGGCAGGACAGGGGTCGCAGCTGCCCCTGCGGTTAGGGGCGGCGCTGCTGCGACCGGCGCCGCGGGCACAACCGGCAGCGGGCTCACCACAGGCGAAGGGGCCGGCCGCGGGCTCGCGGGCAGGGGCCACAAGCTGTGCGGGAAGCAGGCGCGGTGGAAAAGGTTTGGGAAAGGTTGGCGAAACCAGAGTGGTGGCCAACGCTGCGTGGCCCGGTGGGGAGGCCAAGAGGGAGCTGGCCATGCTCGTCACACTGCGCCCGCGAGGCTGAAGCTACAACACAATTGCGATGCCACGTGTCTATCTTGTGCACCGTGAAACTCACCATACGGGCGGCACTGCTGTGCAGGCGGACAGCGCAGCGTGCGCCGTCCTCGACTGCTGCGCCACCAGGAGCAGAAGAAGCAGCATGGCGCCCCACGCAGCGCCCCTCGTCAGCGTCCGCCGGTGGCGTCGCATGGAGCTGGTCGCAATGATCAATTCAGTCCGTTCAATGAATTTCTAGCCAAGTGGCAACCGCAGCGCGCGCTGGCCACCACGCCGGTTCAATCCGTTGAAAGCGCTGTATGCACTTTTTGCGTATGTTCAATAAGTATTGATCCGTTACAAATTTTTTTATCGCGCTGTTTGAAAGGACCATACCCGCAGCAGCCAGCTCTGCCCAGTCCAGGTGCAGCTGCTCACCCGGGGCTAGTGTGGCGGAAGCGCCCAGTTTGTGCGCCCAGCCTTGCCCAGAGGTACATGAGATCCCGTGCTTGGTTCATGCTGCTCACACTGCGCTTGAGCGCCAACTCATTGTCAGCACAGATCTACGCACCGTCCGGGCACCTGTGACACGCCCGAGAGCCGGCTTGCGCACACGAAGATGCCTGCTGTGATCCGATCGACCTCTTTGGCAGCACGCAGCAGCTGCAGGCGCCCCAGTACGGCGGGGAGCATTGATGGCGCGTGCGTGATGCGCGCCGACGCCCGCGTGGCGCGTGCCCGAGGGCACGTCGCCCACGCTGGCACGGGGAAGACCATGAGCGGGCGTAGCGATGGGGGTGGCCTGCCACCGGTGCCGCCAGCCGAGCAGCAGCAGGTGCAGCAAACCAAGCCCCAGCAGCCCTCGCAAATGCAGCGCCCGCGAAAGCAGGTGGGCTGTTCGAAACGCGTGATGTTGTCAGCAGCAGGCGGCAACGGCTCGTGGCATGTCTTGACTTGAGCATGCAGGACGATCATGCGCATGCAGATGTGTGTCCTGTTGTCGCCCTCAGCGGCTTTGGAGCGTGAAGCTATGCTGACGTCGCAGCGTCCCCCACACCACTGGACCTGCATTTCCTGGCCCTGCTTGCGCCTGTTTCTGCACAGACTGACGGCAAGGGCGGATGGGACGACCTGCTTTCGCGCATGACGCCCCAGCAAGAGGTGCGCCGGCTCGCCGCCTCGCAGCGGGCGGAAGATCACTCAGCTTGCACGGCAGGCGGCTGAGCAGCCGGAGTGCGGCGCCCAGCCGTGTGCGCTGCGCAACCC